CCGAGTTCCCCCACCGCAAATCCCAAAATCGGCAGGTGTGTTCCCGTGTTCTCGTGACGTCACAGATCCCGACGCGCAGTAATACACGGCATCCTCCTCGGTTTCTCAAGCGGTTGCTCGATACCCCTCTCTCCCGCCCCCCCGGCCCCACCAAAAAAACCACTCGATTTCGCCGGGAACGCTGTCCCATGCGTGTGTAAATCCCTCGGTACCTCTGTATTAGTGGATTCTGCGCCTCTCACCGGTGGAACTGCTTTCGATTGTTGGCGGGCCCCGCCATCTTGCTTTCAGTGAGCTAGCGAGCGGCAGTAAGAGAAGCCGTCCGTTGTAATCCACATTCGACAAACCGTTTTAAGGGACACACACGTAAGCCCCTCCCCACCTAAACTCAAAACTCATAACTCCCAAAAAAAAGAAGGCAAAAACGTACAACAATAAGGAATTAAAAAAAAAGGAATCACGCATCGCATTCAGTTGATCCCGAAAAATTGTCATTGAATTATCCCTTGTAATTTGTCAAGTAAAATCTCACAAATAAATTATTAAATCACGTTTTATCTGGGGGGCATTGGGTCGAGGAGTTAATCCAATAATCCGGGGATTGAGTGAATTATCGATATTCGAGTTTGCAACCAGAATTTAACGAGTATCTAACTGAAAGTTCTCTTTTATTTCAATCAACGATTAATATCGAGCCAGGATGTCAGAGCGGGAGGACAACGTCTACAAGGCGAAGCTTGCTGAGCAGGCCGAGCGCTACGATGGTGAGCACATTTTCATTTTTAGTCGGTTTCTTTAATTATTCCAGTGGTGAAGCGCACGGTAAACCCCGGGGACTTGTGCTCCGTTCGTCGGGGGAATTTGGTCGATCAGTTGGAAATCCTGGAGCTCCGTTACTCCGAAAGTAGTCGCATGTCGAAAGAGAGAGAGAATGAGAAAGAGAGTGAGGGGAAAGAGAGAGGGAATACTTCGGCATTTTGTCGATGTGAAAAATGGTGGGTCTGTTCGAAGCCCCGGAAATCGAGAATTTCTGTCTGTCTGATGACGGCGGAGGGGCGGAGGGGCTTGTAAAGGGTTGAGGGGGCCGGGAGGGGGGCTGAGGGCCTCGGGGAAAACGTCAAATGTGCTTGGCTCACGTACAGGCACGAGTGGGCACTCGTGCCGGCGAAATTATTCTCGTTTCGTTGCTGAAATTTTTCCCCTTTCTGGAGGCAATGCGGGAAATTATTCTATTCCAGGGGGTCTGCGCGAACTCCGGGGCCTGGGGGAGGGTGCCCTCTCTCGGGGGATGATGGGGGACGGTATTTTTCGTGAGGGATACTACGTTGCTAGGCGTGCTTCGACCGTTCTGCCGAGCTGCGGCGTTCATAGATAAGTTCCCTATGCCATTTTCTTCACGTTAACGATGACGCATTCAACACCCACCCGATCCGGCCGGTGGCCCCTCTCCCACACCTACTTTGTGGTAGGGTGAACAGGCCAATTGCTGGACGGTTTAGGGAAATTTCGTGGTACACTGGTGGAAATTTTTGGAGATTTCAGGGGAGCGATTTTGATCGTTTTATGTCGACATGAAATCGTTATTTTCAACCAATGACAAGTCCTGGATTCGGAATACTCAGCTAGGATGGGTTGAAATTTATGATTTTATGTCGACATAAAACGAGCAAAATCGCTCCCCAGGGAAGGTATTGTAGGAAATTATAGGAAATCTCATGGAAGTGACGTTGAATCGAATTTAGGAAAAAATGGTCAAGTTTCGAGTTTTCAGAATTCACGGATGTTCATGGATTTTTTGGGGGGGAGTGAGATGGAAATTTTAACTTGATTTCATTTTCAGGGGAGCATGAATATTCAGCAATAAAATGATATGAATTTTCAATTTTACCCGGAATTTACCTCATTTTTCAGATTTTTTACAGAATAGTTGAACTGAAAAATAGAGTATTTCATGGATTTCCAGATCATTTGAACAGAAAATCAATGGAACATGTGATTTTTCAATGACAAGATTTCCGGAAATTTCAGTGGAACTTGAAGACGATAAAAATTTCCGGAATTTGGCACGGAAAATTCAGATGACAAATTTTTAACAGTGTGGGATCTAAAATAGAAGAATCATCTGAATGGGGATACGATGGCTTCGACACCTTCAAAGATGTTTTAATTGGCAGAAAAAAATTATTTGAATTTATGCCTCTGTATCGTAATACATGATATTAATTAACAGGGGGGGGAGGTCCCTGATAGTCCATAAAAGCGAAAGCAAAAGCGACAGGATTAATAATTAAAAAGTAATTAACAGCATGGAGCTCATCGCGAAGATGAGAAAGCGAATAAGTAACAATAAAAGTAATAGTAATGATGATAATAATTTGGAGTAGTCAAAAGGGGTCTTAATTACAACATGCAAGACATGACTTGCAGTGGAGGCATTGTTGGCACTTGGACCAACCACTTAGGACTATAAGATGCAACAGATTGAACATTAAATTAGCAGAAAAAAATTATTTGAAGGGAAATTAACAAAACGAAAGGTAATTAAATTAAGAAATAGTTGAGTGCAGCCGAAACCTCTAATTTCTGGACGACTGGGCCATATTTTTTTTATTTAGTCAATGACGATCAGTAAAACAAATAACTAATAATTAAACAAATAATTAATTAATCGCATGATTATACACGAGTAATATTATTGAAAGGGGAAATAATCAGTACAATTTTTATTTTATTATTTATGGAATATTCAATGCACGTTGAAATCGTCCGGAAACTAGCCCCCGTCCAGAAATAGCCTTTTCATCCTGACGGTCACTAAATTTTCGGACACTTTTCTCACATGTTAATTTCCCTAGGAGTTTCGGACACTTTTACGGAATTTACATATCAATCACAATTTTTGAGGGCTCAAATCTGTATTATCTGAAATGTCAATAATAATTTTTTCAGTTCAATGATCGGAATAAATATTTCCCCTAAATTTCCAGAATGAAAAGTCTGTTGACCTGTTTACCATACTGCTAGACTGGGGTTTACGAATTGGAGTATTTGAGAAATAGTTTTTCATTCGGGAAATCTGGGGGAAATATTTGTTCCGTTCGTCGAACTGAAAAATCTCCAGTTGAATAATGAAATTCTGATAGGGGAGTGTGCGGCAAAGTGAAACAGCCGAAAACGACTATTTGACGCAATTCAAGCGAGAATAATTTTTTTTCCATCAAATTTTGTTTATTGAATTTCTTTATATATTAATAATAATAATTTTCTAGTCGTCATATAATTCAATTGATTAGATTAGGAGACTCAGCATCGCATTTTCCTTTTTCCCCCTGGGCCTTGCTCTGGACTTTGAATTTCGCTGTTCCATTTTCTTCTCAATTAATCTATCGGCAAAATCTTCTCTGGTCAAAACGTCTCAATAATTTTCCATTGTACAGAATGGAAAATTATTATTCTCATTAGTCCTCCCAAGAATGAAAAAAAGTATTTAATAAAAAAAAATTTTTTGCTTGAATTGCGTCAGTTTTTCGCCTGTTTCAGTCTGCCCCTCTCTCTCTCTCCTAAATATTGACATTTAAGCGGTAACAAAAGGCCACCATTTCCTCGAAAGTTTAAAAAAAAATTCCTGCTCCAAGTGATTAATATTAATATTAATATTGGTATTAATATTAGTGATTGCGATTTTTTAATCCAAAGCGCATTGATCTTCATCATCATCTCCTGCAGATTAATGTATTTCGATTTGTAAAAATATCGAGAACTTTCGGCAGGAAATTTGTTCAAAAATTTTGAAAATCAGCGGCATTGTGTTACCCTTTAAGGTAATATATATATGAGTCCATGAAAATTTAGTGACTCGGGATTAAAAGGTCTATTGTGGGGAATGAGGAATTGCTTGCAGGTTTCTTGGGATTGAGGAATTTTTTGGGGGCGAGGGAAGCCTCGTGAGGGCTCTCCCTTTTCAGGGGGGTTTTGAGCGCAGGGGGAAGTTGGCCTCGGCCTTGAGAAATCGACCATTGGAAAAATCGCGGTTGGCATTGCGATTCTTTTTTTTGCTGGGGGGAGTCCTTTTGGGGAAATTTTTCACGATTTTTTGATGGATTTTTCATTGCCATTCTGGCCTTTATGACCCTCGTGACAGTTTTATTTTACAAATTTGAGTTCTTTGTAACTCATAAAGTAGTCAACAAAAATTGTGGATTTATTTCTATGGATTTTCTCGTTCTGAGCCTTGTGACAGGTTTATTCCACAAATTTGTTTTTTTCGTGAGTTAAAAACTTATGAACGAAAATTCTTAATGATTTTTTATGGATTTTCACTCATTCTGACCGTTGTGACAATCTATTGGCTCTTTATTTCTTTATTTATGAATTTTTCGGCCTCATTCTGACCCGCATGACCCTTGTGCTAGGTTTATTTCACAAATTTGATTTTTTGTGAGCCAAAAACTTCAAAACAAAAATTTTGGATTATTTTGTTAAATGAGTTTTTCACTCATTTTGACTCTTAGGAAAATCTACTAGCCCTTAATTTCTTTTATTTGCGAATTTTTCAGGCTCATTCTGAGCCTGATGACCTTTGTGGCAGTTTTATGTCAACAATTTGTTTTGACGATTAACGAAAAATGGATAAAAATGACCCTTGTCACAGTTTTATTTCACAAATTAAATTTTTTTGTGGCTCAATAACTTGTCAACAAAAATTCTTGATGATTTATTGATGGATTTTTTCCTCACTCTGGCCCTTGTCACAATCTACTAGCTCTTCATTTTAGTATTTATAAATTTTTCTGTCTCATTCTGACCCTTACGACAGGTTTATTTCACAAATTTGTTTTTTCCCGGAGTCGAAAATTTCTCAACAAAAATTCTTAATGATTTTTTGTTGATTTCTTCCGTCTTTATTTTTTATCGATGCATTTTTTATCTCATCCTGACCCTTCTGCACCTTACATCAATTTTAATTCACAAATTTGATTATTTCGTTATTCAGAAACTTGTCAACACTTCGCATTCATTTGAATTGAGCAATTTATCCATTGATGAATCCCTCAAGTAACAACAAATTACGAGCATTCGTGCGTGTGAAAAAGTATCGATAATAGTTGAATGGAGTTCCCAGAGCCACTGGGAGATCGATTTTCCCATTGTAGAGTGCGAGTTAATTTTTTTTATTGAAATGAAACAAAATCGGGAAGAGAGTGATAACTGATATTATTAATAGATGAAAGGCGAAGGGAGGGAAGACACGTGGAAAGGGCAGAATATATTTATATATGTGATCTTTGTGGAAGGTGGTAAAAGGGTAGGTTGGAGTTAAATTTGAGGGTTGGGAGAGAGCGTCGCAGGCTAGGCTGTTGGGTAAAGGGGGTGACAAGAGAAGGGAGGTCATAGCTGAAGGAAAGTATTGATCTGCTACCCCGCCATCCTCTCTTCCTGTATAACACGACTACGCTTTCTATACTGCCTTCATACTAATTCCAAGTTTCATAACATCTTTTTTTGCGTGCAACATTTTCGATTGTTCACTTTGCGGGAATTTTTTTTTTGCACGAAATATAGTTTTTCGAACGGTTCTTAGGGGATCGGCAGTTCAGTGGGTTATCGAGTTCATAAATATTTTATTGGCTGTAGAGATATGCTCGACAATGTTTTTTTGCAGTTCTTTGTTTGTTTGATCAATAAATATTATTTATAGAATTTATTTTGAGGGGTTTTCGAGTGTACAGATGAGGGAAATTGTTGGGCGAGATTTTTGTGGGGAAGTTCTCGAGGTAGATAGAAGGCCTCTGGAATTTTTTGGGAATCTACTTTTTTATTGAGATTTTTAGGAAAGAATCTTGGAAATTGGAGATTAAGGATGAAATTATTTTGATGAAATTTATGAATTTTATTCGTAAATGAATTGGTTTAGAGGAAAATTTTGAGAGATCTTTTGTGGGGAATTTAATTCTGTTTTTTCAAACAATAATGTTTGTTTCATCAATAAATCTTATTTATAGAATTTATTTTGAGAGGTTTTCCTGTGTAGAGATGAGGGGAATTGTTGAGGGAAATTTTTGCTCTGAAATTTTTTAGAAGGCTTCTGGCATTTTTTGGGAATCTACTTTTTTCGTTAGATTTTTGTGGATGAATCTTGGCAATCGTAGATTAAAGATGAAATCATTTCGATAAAATGGATGAATTTTATTCGCAAATGAATGGGTTTAGAGGAAAATGTTGACAGAAAACGTTTGTGAGGGATTTAATTCTCTATTTTTACAAATAATCTATGGAATTGTAACTTTGAAGCCATTAAAGAAAAATGACGCTGCACCAAAAATGGAATATTTTATTTTGTTAATTCTTGAAACCAAATGGCTGCAAAATAAAACGTCAGAATGGCTGTTCAGTAGGAAATATAATGAATGAAAAATGAAAGTCTATTGAATTCCCGCTTAAATATGTTGGTTGCAGACATGCATAAATATTGAGTTGACATCAATATTGTTTAGAGAACAACCACATGTTTTAGAGAATTTAATTCTCTATCAAAATTTATTGCGAATAAATTACTCAAAACTTCTGGTAAATTTTGACAATATAATTCCTTAAATATCGCAAAATGAAAATTATTCTCTAGAAATAATTCCCAAGACGTTAGCAAAAGAATCCTGTGTACTTTCACCAATTGATTTCTGAAAAGAAAATTGTTGATTCATTTTTCCATTAACTTTAGTGCTTCGTTCAAATGTTTCTAATGAATAAATCTGTAATCCCGCAGAGATGGTCGAGGCGATGAAGAAGGTGGCATCCCTGGACGTTGAGTTGACCGTTGAGGAGAGAAATCTACTCTCGGTTGCATACAAAAATGTCATTGGAGCGAGGAGAGCATCATGGCGAATAATATCCAGTATCGAGCAGAAGGAGGAGAACAAGGGTGCTGAGGATAAACTCGAGATGATACGCCAGTACAGATCTCAAGTTGAGAAAGAACTCAGGGACATTTGTGCGGACATACTTGATGTACTTGACAAACATCTGATTCCCTGTGCATCCACGGGCGAATCCAAAGTCTTCTATTACAAAATGTGAGTGCTCATTCATTCGTTATTTAATTATCTCGATAACAGGTTTTGAAGAAATGTCAACAGATATCCATTCATTGCTGGGATAATTCTGTAGATAGTTTTGAGGAACTACAAATGATTGGTAATCGTTTTCAAAATGATCTGGACAACGAAAATATTCTATTTCACTTGCTTCACAACAAATTAAAATTAACAAAATTAATTAAAATAATAGTAGTAATAATTATAAAACTGACAAATTAACTATTTGAAATCATAATAATTCTTCTCATTAAAATATAATAATAGTTTTCCCTAATTTTATGATAGTAGTAACATAATAATTTTAATTAATTAAAATTAGAAAATTTGTACATTCGAAATGTCAAGGAATGTCTTCCCAAAGAAATTTTCTATTCTTCAAGAAAAATCTTGGCAGTCTTTTATAAAGTCGCTCTTTCTTGCAACATTTCAAAGAATAATTTGAATTAACTAACAAATCACGTCTGTTGGCTCGTTTAATTAGGCTCTGAACTCTATGATGACACATAATATCTAGAGTTTTTTCTCAAAGAAAATTTCTAATTCTATAATCGCTAAAATATAGTAATTCAAGCAAAAAATTGTTTATTCTTAAAAAATCATCTGTCTTTTTGTTTTAACAAACATCAGAAAATAATTTTAATTGTTAATTGATCAATTATCGAAGTTGGAAAAATGTTAAAAGACTCTGTAGACAATTCCTTTTTCTTGAAAACATATCTTCCAACAATTTCACCTCAAAACACTCATTTTTCAGACAGTTACGTAAATAGCGGAATGTTCCATTCCACTTGATACACAAATGGAGTAATTAATTCCGCCCACTTAATTAGGCAATTATCTCTATTATGACACAAAATGTCAAGAGTTGTCTTTTGTCTCTCAAAGAAAATTTTTCCCTCTGTAATCACGAAAATGTAGGAACTCAAACAAACAAGATTAATGAATGATCTATAATTTTACAGGAAGGGTGATTATCACCGCTACCTAGCCGAGTTTGCAATTGGCACAGACAGGAAAGAAGCAGCTGAGAAGTCTTTAATAGCATACAAAGAAGCCAGCGAAATTGCAATGACAGAATTACCACCAACTCATCCAATTCGTCTAGGATTAGCCCTTAACTTTTCTGTATTTTATTACGAGATACTCAATAGTCCAGACCGAGCGTGTCGTCTGGCAAAGGCAGCATTCGACGATGCTATTGCCGAGTTGGATACATTATCTGAGGAGAGTTACAAAGATTCAACCCTAATCATGCAATTACTCAGGGACAACCTCACTTTATGGACATCCGATATGCAGGGTGACGGTAAGAACTTTTGAAGCTACTTTTCACTGGGTCAATGTTACTTTGTGATCAGTTTTTTGGGAAATCTCGAAATTTATGAGGGAATAAGGGGATTTTTGTAGAGGCATTTCGTAAAGCCGTTAAACTCTGTTTTGTTTGGGAAAATGGAAAATTATTCAAAAGAAAATCGATCACGAAATAAAATTGAACAGGAGACGTTTTTCGTGAAAAAAATTATTTTGATTTCTTTTCAAATTCGACGCTCTGTTGAAGAACTCCTCAGTAATATTTTTGAAAAATCGATAATGAAGTGAAAATTCATTCATGATTTCAGTCCAAATCTTGAAATTTGAGAGGGATAAGGGAATTTTCGTGGAAATATTTTTGTAGAGAAAAACGAGAGCTACAAAAGAGTTCTTCGGGAAAATTTTGTTATTTTCCTTGGGTTCAAAGATATTGATGAAAAATGCAAATAACTGTTAAAAATATTTGTATTTACAACTTAGAAAATATTTGTTTTTAGAACTGAAAAACATTTTTGCTTCCGAATGGAAACTATGTAATTGTAATTTTTTTCGATTTCCTAATTTTGGGTGGAAATGCTTAGAAATGTCATGAAACGTGAAGAAATGATGTTTTTAAAAAATATCTGTATGTATGTATGTCTGTGGTCATGTGTGTGCGTATGTCCCCAATTGCCCCCATAACTCGAGAACGGTTAGCGCAAAGAACTTGAAATTTTGGCTGCTATCTGCTACTATTGATACTCAAAACTAGGCTAAATTTCAGCTCGATCGGTTGAGCGGTTCCTGAGATACAGCAATTCCTCAAAAATCGTTTTTTGCCGATATCTCCTGAACCATTCGACCGATTCGATTTTTTTTTTCAAAATACTCGTCGTGATGATACCTATCTAAATGGATCGAAAAAAGACCATTACACCCCAGGCAATGTGGTTTTATTCTCGTTTTTTCATTTTTTCGCTGAAATTGCTTGTAAACATGATAACTTAAAAAATAATCGAGATAGAAACTTCAAACTTGGTAGGATTTCAGGTCTTGTGATAACAAAGTTTGGTATTTTGGATGAGCAAAATCGGACCAATAGTTTCGGAGATATTCAACTTTTTATGTGAAACTGTTTTGCTCAATATCTCAAAAATTATACAACCGATTTCAATTTTTTTTCTTCAAAATGTTAGTCTTGAGGTCATCTATCTGCATCAATCATAATATGTATACCCCTCTATAGAAACTTTTCAAGATAGTGCCGTTTTTGTATTTTTTTGGTCAGAATTCACTCTTGAACACTATAACATGGATTAAAATCATGGAAACCTATTGAAACATTGACTACTAGTTAGGATTGTCAAATAACATTCCTATATCCAATTTTAGGTCAATATATTCAATAGTTACTGAGATAGAACAATTTATCAAAGATTTTTAAGAAGAAAAGGATCAACGCATCTATATTTAACTGTTCATTTTCACTCTAGGCTGACTTAGAAAGATCTTTTTTTTTT